ATCTAGCTAGTGATTATTGTCTGACTGTGAAAGTATCTGTTGAAAAGTTTATAATGGGCACAAAGAGAGTTCATGCTATCGCACAGCATTGTTATGGGCCAATGGGACATGGTATATAGTTGATATTTGATTTTAGAAATCTAAGGAAGATGGGGTTTACTGCACAGGACAATAAATTTACAGCAGGTCTTTTGGCATCATGCTTTTCAATAACCACAGTAAGTGGGTCTGAGCTTTGAATTCTAGTCCTAGCTCTCACACTGACTCCTGCTTGGGTCCTAAGCAAGTCACTTTAGCACTAAATTATGCATCCTCCTCCTCTGCAAGTAAACTGGATGGAGGGAGAGGGTTCAGAGAGCCATTTTTTATCTTCAGTTTCCTCACCTGTTAAATGGGAATAATGATATTGGCCTCCTTTGTAAAATGCTGTGGGCTCTACAGATGAAAGGCGCTATGTAAGCGTTAGGTACTGTTATAGCACTCCTGCCCAGGGGCAGGCATAATTTGGTTCCTAGCAGTTGGAATGAAAAGCAGTAAGGGATGACCTTATAGGAAAGTCCCATAGGATTTAAAAGGGACACACCAATAGGGTTCTTCAGAAATTACAGTGCTATGGAAATTCCTCTGAATATCTGTAGAATGGAGAATAATCTCCTTTATGAATAATCCCCTCTATTCGACATTGGTGAGGCCTCATCTGGAGTACTGTGTCCAGTTTTGGACCACACACTACAAGAAGGATGTGGAAAAATTGGAAAATGTCCAGCGGAGGGCTACAAAAATGATTAGGGGACTGGAACACATGACTTATGAGGAGAGGCTGAGGGAACTGGGATTGTTTAGTCTGCGGAAGAGAAGAATGAGGGGGGATTTGATAGCTGCTTTCAACTACCTGAAAGGGGGTTCCAAAGAGGATGGATCTAGACTGTTCTCAGTGGTAGCTGATGACAGAACAAGGAGTAATGGTCTCAAGTTGCAGTGGTGGAGGTTTAAGTTGGATATTAGGAAAATCTTTTTCACTAGGAGGGTGGTGAAGCACTGGAATGGGTTACCTAGGGAGGTGGTGGAATCTCCTTCCTTAGATATTTTTAAGGTCAGGTTTGACAAAGCCCTGGCTGGGATGATTTAGTTGGGGATTGGTCCTGCTTTGAGCAAGGGGTTGGATGAGATGACCTCCTGAGGTCCCTTCCAACCCTGATATTCTATGATTCTGTGATTGTCGCATCATCCCATGGAAGTCTGTAGTGGGGATATTACTGTCATTTCCGAGGTTCCCTTTTTCACAATGTAAGAGCCACAACAAGGCCCTTAAACCCTCTCTGTGACTATCGAATATCATTAATGTCAACATTCTGGTGTAAAAATAATTCATTAAGAGACAAGTCTAAGTCTTAATAACATACCATCATTTTAACATGTTTGGGTTATAGGCCAACCTAAAATCCAATGGCAGGCTACAGCCCATGCAGGTTACTGGATGTAGCTGATGTCTGGGTCTTTAACAGTAGGGATTTTAACAATCTGGTTTCAGAGTAACAGCCATGTTAGTCTGTATTCGCAAAAAGAAAAGGAGTACTTGTGGCACCTTAGAGACTAACCAATTTATTTGAGCATGAGCTTTCGTGAGCTACAGCTCACTTCATCGGATGCATACCGTGGAAACTGCAGCAGACTTTATATAGGTGGGCCATTTGTGGATGGATTTGTGCAGGAAATGGCCCACCTTGATTATCATGCACATTGTGTAGAGAGTTGTCACTTTGGATGGGCTATTACCAGCAGGAGAGTGAGTTTGTGTGTGGGGGGGTGGAGGGTGAGAGAACCTGGATTTGTGCTGGAAATGGCCCAACTTGATGATCACTTTAGATAAGCTATTACCAGCAGGACAGTGGGGTGGGAGGAGGTATTGTTTCATGATCTCTGTGTGTATATAAAGTCTGCTGCAGTTTCCACGGTATGCATCCGATGAAGTGAGCTGTAGCTCACGAAAGCTCATGCTCAAATAAATTGGTTAGTCTCTAAGGTGCCACAAGTACTCCTTTTCTTTTAACAATCTGGTGTGTTCAGGAGAAGACACATAAACTAAAGCAACTTGAGAACACTCTGACAAAGTACCTAGAAAAGAAAAGCATTAAGCTTATGTTAGAATGCATTTGAATTCCACAATACTAATTAACCGTTTACTTATTAGGATTAAGTTTATTCATACAGCACAACCCCTTGCAATGGAAATTACATGTGAACCATATTTAAGAACAGTCTTATTGTCTAAGGGGGTATTGGTCCAACTTCCAAAGATATCCTTGAATTATTTCTGTGGTGAAATATTTCTGTGCATAGTGCCCAAGGATATAGGGTTAAAGGAAGAAACAAGAGTAGGGCTGTAAAAGGAAATCACTTAACCAGAACTGTACTGGCACAAGCTGCATCCATCCCTGACCATAACTTAGATTGTAAGCTCTTTGGGTCATGCCTGTCTTTTTGTACTATATTTGTACAGCACCTAACACAATGGGCTCCTGGTCCATGACTCTGGCTTCTAGGTGCTACAACAATACAAGTAATAAATAACCATAATAATAATAAACAAACATGTTGGATAACAAGGGGTACACCAAGAAATCCAAAGTAATGCTAGAAATCTAAAGAAAATAAACTTAACACTCAAGAGCGGTTCATGCATATAATAAAATGTCCTGCTCTTTCTTTGGGATGGTGAGGGCTCCTTTTCATTCACAGCTGCCTGAGTTAATCATTAAGACCCTTACACTGTAATCCGGTCTGCATGGGGTGAGGGTGGGAGGCGAGGCGGGAAACCCTTGCACTCATGTGGATTCAGTTGCAGGATCAGGACTTAAAATACTGGCATTTTTCAGACTGCTAGACAAATGAATGCTTATGAATACATATAAAACAGGAGCGGGAGGTGGAAAGTTTGGATCTAAATCCGAATATTCCCAAAGTCAGTTGTGTTTTGGATTTGGTTTGGACCATCTATAAAATAATATATGCATATCTTCCAGTCTATAGTTTAAACTCTATTAATCTGGATTCTCATTTATTGTAAGGTCCCTTTACACCACTCTGCTGGTGTAAACGGGTCTTCAAGTGGGAGTGAATTATAACAATGTTAAGGCCCCTTTACATGGACTCTGCAATGTAAAGGGGCCTTCGTGTAAATAAGAATCAGGCCCTGAAGTCTCCAAAAGGTTAATAAGTGGTGCATCACTATCACTGAAAACGGAGTGTATTATGAACCAATGCTTTGTCCTTTAGCAGTTAACTTTGAAATTTGCAGCAGTGTTATTTCTTCTGCCATGGCACCCTGTGGAGCTGTTCACCACTACCAACCATGAATTAAGTGAAAACAGCAGGCTTTGTTCTCCATCAAACAAAAAATAGTGTGTTTGTGTGTGTGTGTGAGGGTGACCAGATAGCAAATGTGAAAAATTGGGATGGGGTGGGGGCAACAGGCGTCTATATGAGGAAAAGCCCCAAATATTGGGGCTGTCTCTATAAAATCGGGATATCTGGTCACCCCAGTGTGTGTCTATATATAAATGTGTATATATCTATATAGAATCAACTTTGCAAAATGAACGCATACATTCTTTTATTCATTTCATTCTTTCCAAAAAAAAGTCCCAATGCCATCGTCCCATGTCAGTAAGAGACCCTTCCAGTTTCTTGACACCAGTTCAAACACCAAAAGGAAAATACTTGCCAATTTTGTGTATGTCCGTGTTTTGAAATGGAAGCATTCTGAGTTTGCAAAAATGCAAACAGGGGCTTGCAGTTGAGGAAGAAAATCTGCATTTGAAGTTCTGTGTGCCCTGTGTGTGTTCTGTATGCAGTAAATGTCTGGCAAAATCAATACCTTGAACTTCCAATATGGTACAACAACTTTCTCCCTCTTGTACTTCCATGTTTGCCCCTGGCAATAGTTGGATTGTATATATACGCTGCATCCTCTTTTATTGCTGTGATTCTGACAAAAGAATGCTGGGTGTTTGCTCCTATACTTACAGTTCCAAGTTCATTCTGGGCACTGTCATTACAATAAATACCTCTTAATGATCAAAAGCGGAATGGGCAGTCATCCTGTCCAGCTGTGACAAGTGTCATGTTTGCTAATTGTTTCAAGCTTCGGGGAGAAGCAGATTTCTGTGGATCTCAGAGATTTCAGTTCTCAAGAATTGAAGCACTGATATCTTTTCTCCACGACCAAAAGGAATACATAAAATCAAGTTATTTCCAAGGGAAGCGAAGTATAAGGGGAGCATTTTTTATTCCGTTGAGTGTCATCCCATCCCCAATATTATTTTGTGTTTTAGGCTTGACCAAATTCACAGTAAAATGTGGTTGGAACCATATGGCTTCCAGTAGCTTCCACTCACAACTTGTTTTAGGTTTGTTAAAAGATTTACAAAACCTTTGATGAGATTCACGTACTCTCCAGATTTGTTGTAGAAATGTAATTATTATAATTTACTATGAAATTTTCATACAACTCTGTTAATAAGTTTCTCATGATGTAGTTAAACGGTGCAGTATTCTCTCTGGTATCTGTGGGCAAAATTCTGCTCACATTTACCCTAGTGTAAACCCAAAGTAAATTAATTTGTTTCAATGAAATTACTCTGGGTTTAGTTTACACAGACTTTGGCTATATATCTCGTTAGAGATCTTAAATATTACAACAAATCATATTGTCTAGATTTAGACAGAAAGATACTAATGGCATACATATTGAGAAGCTTATTTCTCCTCTAACCAAAGTGTTTAATGTTATAAAAGTTTTTCTTAGGTCCTGATTCAGCAAGGTACTTAAACATGTATGTAACTTTAAACGTGTGAATAGTCCTGTTAACTGGAAGTCCTTTGTTCTGTCAAGACCTACAAAGTCCACAGACTGCTTGTATGTTCTTCATTATCCTCCCATGTTCACTCATCTACAGTATACATAGAGGACTCTGGACTATATTAATGCAGGGACCTTCCGTTAATATCTTGACCCACACACATACAGCTGCTGTACACTTGGGAGGTATACAGCATACCGTTCAAAAGGAGGCTTTAACCCAAATGGTTATTGCGCAAGTTTTTAAGTGTCATATTTTTAAAAAGAGTTGATCAGTTAACAAAAACAAAAGAAGAGAGGGGCTAGAAGGGGGGAGAGTTACGTTTTAATAGAAATGTGTTTCATGTTTTGTTTTTTGTTTGCTATACAACATTAATGTAGTAAACAAATTAAACTTTGTTCTTAAAATTCTTTAATAACATACAGTATTCTGAGCTCTGCCATTGCAAATTACTGTAAACCATGTTGTGTCGCTGGGAGCATTCAAACCTCCTATTGTCACAGCTGTTTGACATTGAAGTACTTTTTTTTCCCCAAGAAAAGTTATTCGTAAGCTGTTTGCTTATGTGAACGCCTTTCTTAATAGGTTTGATGTCATTTTGTGTGTGTTTCAGTTCAGTATGGGCAATGGTGCTTTCTGACCAAAACACACTTAAACTGTTTTTTATTCTGTACATAGAGCAAAGTCGATGTGTTGTTGTGGTCAGCCCCTGCTTTGTGCTATATAGTACCTTTCTGGACACCCCACCCCAAATGAGCAAAACTTTTATAGGATGATCTGACACGTTATGTTCTGGAAGTCAAATCCACAGTAGAAACATCCAATGTGAAGAATAGCCGAAGTAGCTATTTAAAATAGGGGGTGGGTGAGAAAGTGTCATTTTGGTCCACTTTTTGGGGTGGCTGGTGTTTATAATATATAATTTTTTTTTTTTTACTCAGTGTAGTTCACAATAATTTAAAATACTCTATAGACATTTAAACGATATACAATAATATAACTTAATTGGATTCCTCAATTGTACTTAACAAATACTATTCTAATATATTTACAGTATGTAGTACCATATGACTGTGCATTACTGTGCATGGGAGCTTTATTTGCTTCTTGTCAAGAATGAGCTGAAAGTACAGTATATAATTATTGTTCAACAATAATACCCATGAATCAAAAGGGATGTTAAATAGTATGGCATGGTTCTGGCATAACTGGGGGCAGCCACTTCAATGGAGTTGTGCTCATTTATTCAAGAGCTGGATTTAGACCATGGGCTGGGATTTTCATAAGTGATTTTGCGTGCCTCAATTTCTGGGTGCTCCACTGGAGACTATTTAAAGGGGCCTGATTTTCAGAGGATGAGTGCTCAACACTTGAAAGTCACGTCCCTTTCAGGGTCTCAAGTCCATACTCAAAATCACTGGTCACTTTTGAAAATGTAGGCCCAAAAGTTTAGGAATAATTCGTAGATGACTCTTTGAAAAACAAAACTGAATGTCCAGATTACAGTAACTAGATAATATTTAATCCATGTTTCCTGCCAGCCAGATAGTGGCATTTGCTACAAATTACACTTGCTGTGTGTTTATGGGAGCAGTTTTATTGCAGCTGGGCATATCTGGCTCTTGTAGTTAAATTCGCTATGATTTACAATACTAATCTGAATAGAGATTTTAAAAAATTATTCCTTGTGGGGAAAAGGGAATGTGAGTTGGAGTTGAACAGAGGTATAAAGGTTCAACTTCTTTCTTAACATTCCAAATATTTACGGGGGAGAGGGGGTAACATACTGTTGCCAGCTTTAGAAAAACGATGACATTTAAAAAGTAAGCCAGACTAACCCATCTGCCGTTTATTAGCTTTGTGTGGTACGCTAATGAAGCCATCATGAACCAGAGATTGTAGCAACATGGAGTTCAGCTACTGTATTTTATTAATTTCCTAGCTTAGGGTGAGTATAAGCTCTTTCACAATATTAGTAATGGGCAAGTTTGTGCTGGGAATTATTAGGATGTTGTAACTCTTACAAAGAAAGAGTAATTGCTTGAAAGATCCTGCTATGGCATTTCTCTTCAAAGCAAAACCTTTAATACCTGTTGAAGCATGTCTTTGTGCCTTAAAACTACCCATGCCAAGATGAAAATAGGTGCTCTCTGCCTCACCTCTGAATCTTAATGCTAGTTCTTATTTGGGGATAGGCAGGAAACCACTGTATCAAGCATTTGTAACCACAGTTTTGCATGATCTTATTGCTCAATTCTGATCATTGCTTAAGGCCTACAGTAATTGAACTCTCTAGTAGTGGAGTGACAATAGATCAGTAGCATTGAAGAACTTAAGGAGAACCAAATACAAAAATCATAAAGTCAGAGTTCCAATAAGCTTACATTTAGTACAGAATTAAGACATAGCTACCCGTTAGTGCTTAGAATTTTTTGATACTATTAAAAACATAAATAATAATTTGTAATGTTCATTCATAGAGTTCCAGTGTCACTGGCAGCTGACGTAATTTTGCAGACTTTATTTTTCAAAGTGATAGTGGAGTTTTTCCGTTTTAATATTTTTGCCTCACTATTAGTCTTAGTTTTTGATATACCTGCTTTTTTTGGAATTAATATTTTTGCAGAAATACTGCTGTTTTTTTTTTAGTGAAAGTTTCATTGTCTTTTTTTTTTAAAAAAAGTCTTATTTGCACAGGGTATTTTTTTTTTTTGTTGTAAAATATGAAAAAAGTGTCTTTTCTTTAACCCTCCTGGGATCTGTAATTCAGTCAGCTTCTCTGTTAGGTATAACTTAAAAATCTAATCGGAAAACTCTACAACACCCAAATTGCAGTAAAAAACAAACAAAAGAAAAAGTTGCATGTGTTTGTCAACGTCACCTTAATCCTGTTGCCCTTATTTCCATTGCAGTCCCAACGGCCAGCCAGCCCAAAATGCATCATCCTTAGAAGTATAAGTGGTGGGGAGAGATTTCTTTTCCCAAAGAAAAGTAGATGTGCAAAATGATGCTGTAGTTGTCTGTCATTCTCCACTTTCTTCACTTGTGGTGATTTGTTCTGTTTATTTCATCAGAGGCCACTATTTGCAGGTGAACACCTCTGTCCGCTCACTGCACGTGTTGCACTTCACAAAGCAGCACCAGTGGAATTTGCAATTACACTGCCACACTTTCGTGTACTGGTGTGTGTTGTAACCCCTTCCACAGCACATCATGTCACACCCGTCTGCATTAGGAGATGTACGGTTACAGAGTCGTCCCTGGGTACCAACACTCCCCGTGGAAGCATCTTCCTCACAGTAGTTGGGCGACTTTTCGATATACACCAGATCTGTTTCCATTGGTTTCTGATAACTCCTGATCTGCTTGATTTTCAGGAAGGTTGGCTGTCGTAGCCGACTGGCCCGTACCACCTCCACTTGTACTGCAGCATTATACTTTTCTTTCAAAATATATCCAATCTCTCTGAATTTAGGAAGTGTGGTCCAGCAGGTCTTAGTTGTACAGGAACCTGAAACACCGTGACACTTGCATTCCAATTTCATTCGCTCTTCAAGAACCTGTATGTGCATATATACATATTATTTTTGGAGAAAAAACTATATTTAAATTTGACTAAATCACACTGTTTATAATTAATATTTATAAAAGCTGGTTGAAAATTTTTCTATGCATTTTTAATAAATATTCTTTTGTTTGCCACAAAAACTTGTTTTCAAAAAGATTTTGTGATATTTATTATAGGAAATTTTATCAGAAAAATGTTTCTTTTTCTGCTTTCAAATAAAATTTTGAAAGTAATTTTTTAAATTTTGAAATCAAGATGGGCTTTTTTGTGGGGGAGGAGGGAACCTATCATGTGGCGATACTGACCAAAAAATTCATTTCAAAATCTTATTTTGAAAATGGAAAATAATAAGAAAAAAATGTAATTGAGTTTTGAAATGTTGATTACATTTTTTTCAAAAAGGTTAAACAAAATAGGATTTTTAATATATTTTGATCAGCTCTGATAGTCATTGAATAATTTATGTGTAGTTGCCATGGCCTCTCTGCTCATTACATACTTAAAACATCAAGCTATATTAGATATCTACCTACTGACCGACCAAACCCCTATCACGCTCAATTGATCTAGCCTGAGACCAGGCAATGGCTGCCGATAAACATGGTCCTTGCACCATGCGAAGTGAGATCCACAAAGGGTCCTGTGAAGCTAAGAGTCAAACACAAGGATAAACAGGAATGTTATTTTTATTATTAGTTAATACTTTTATGTTGCATTAGTGCCTGAAGGTTCCAATCCAGGATTGTGGCCCCATGTGCTTGGAAACCTATCCAGGGCTCATTTCTTGCTTTCCCACAAGCCCCAAGCAAAAGGCCGCATGTTCTTGTGCCATCCCTGGAGCAAACCCAAAGGCAGATTGTGACTGTCGGACACATTTGGCCTCCTAAGTTCACCCTGCTCTGCAGTCCGAGTACCCTTTGCCTGGTATGTATGTGACACAAGATACTTCCTTCAGTGAACCAGCAGAGCTATACACTACACAGTTCTTTTTTTTTTTTTTGAGGTGGGGGGAAATAAAGAGCAGATGTGGAGCTGCTCCCCACACCTGGTGTTGCGGCCTACAGAGGCCATTATGCTCCCAACAATTCTACTCACATATTCCCCTTAAATCCTTGGTGCAAACCCAGCCACAATCTGTCCCACAGTCGTCATCAACTTTTCATGAAAATCTAGACCTAATAATAAAATAAACCAATCTTTCTCCCTTGTATGTATGCAGCAAGGATGATAGTCAAGAAATATGAGCTTCCAAGTTCCACTGAAGCACTAGTGCAGCCCATCTCCTTCAGTGGTTTCACAGCAGATCCCAGACCATGATTGAAATGGGCAGAGGATAAAAGGCCCGAAATCTGAGTACAATAGCATAATGAATCAGAGGGGAAGCAAAAAGTGCTTACTGCTTAAGAATAAAGGCCTTAAAATAAATGCAGTAGAACTTTGGTTAGCCCTGCAAATAGAGGGCACCCTCCTGAGTTGTTTGAGTTTCACTTAAATTGTATGTTTTCTTTTTCCAAATTTCTGGGGTTTCATTATTAAAGAGAGTATCTAGCTTTGCTTCTCTTCTGCCAACATATCGTAGCAAGCACAAGCGGGCTAAGTATCTGGTTCAAAAATACCTTAGGTTCCTTGAAGCCAGCCTTAGGAACCAGGCTCAGATTGAGTCACTGTCAAGTTAGCCCTTCATTCTTCTGATGTAGATAAAGCCGATTTCCAAGCAGTTCACTGCGTTAGGCTAGAGGTTCTTCCAGCCCTGGGCTCCAGACTGCTTTGTGTGGACATTGCATTCTTAGGGCAAGGGGAGGGGTTTTGCTGGTGACCTTGGCCAAAACTTCTCTTTTTACCCCTTGACTGTTGGACAGTGTGCCCTGCACAGACCTGAGTGCCTGCCCCCTCTCTCCTAGAGGCATCAGCACTTCATCAGTGCTGGATGTACATGTTTTGTGATGTGTTTTGGGATCTTTCCAAATGAAAAGCACTATATAAATATAAAGGGCCTGATTTTTTTTTCAAAGGCCCTCAATCCTGACTCCAATTTTATTGTATACATTTTGTACTTACAAATAATCTATTATCGTTTAGATATATACACACATCCATTAAAAAGGAGCACCTATCTCTGCTGTAAGCACTGGTGACAATTCCTAAATATGAAACCAGAAAACAGATCACTCCTGAATCCCAGCTTCAACCATTAATCAACATATTCACAGTCATTAGCAATAACCCAGCAGCAAAAATCATACATAAACTGTGGACAGAAATGGTACTCCTATTCTATTCTATATAGATTTTATACCACCCTCACCTTAGGTCACTGTAGTAAACATCTAACATCTGTCACAATGATTCGTTCTCTCTCTTGTTCTCTCCCCAGGGGGACAATTATCTGTTTGTTTTGCTTTTAAATGTACATGCTGCTATATTGGAGAAAGCAAGGTACACAAAGTGCACCTTGCACTTGGAGCAGAAGGTGGTGAGATTTGCCAGTATTCTGAGTTCCTGTGAGAGTTTGTGTCATGGTCTCAGACCTGCACTCAGGAAAATTCTTTCTCTCACACAGATGAGTTTTACCATTATGGTAGAAAGTTCCATGGTGCCTGAAGAGGGGAGTTGTTGACCCATGTCCTCAGTCCAGAGCTTTAGGTGATCTTTTTGACATGCTGGACTCAGACAACATTATTTATACAGCTAGCCGCCTGATGTGCACAGTGGTGCTAACTCTTGCCATTTTATCATTGTTCTTGCAATATTTGGTGTTTTACTTGAGCCCCAGGTTCTGGAGTAATGTAGTTATACAAGAATCTCAGCTTTCCTTTAAAAATAGTTTCTAGTCCTTATGATTGTGGAGAAAACTTGAAAATGTAACTCTAAAGGCTTGAAAGCCCAGAAGAACCCAAAATGTATGTATTCATTATTTTGAAGCTAATCTCATGGTTTTGGGGGAGGGGATGCTGGCTCATGCTTTTTGAATGGTTGGGGTTTCGACACTGTGTTCAGGCCCAATGATCAGGTAGTTAAATTGCTAAATGCTGTAATGTGTGCACACAGTTATTTTTGGGTGCAAAACTTTGCCCACAAAATTGGAAGCCAGGGAGCCTAAGGCTCAACCAAAATAATATTTCTTCTGTTTCCCCAGGTGGCTTGTGTTCAGTATTCATATTCATTAAGAGCCCAATTCTCACCTTTGCACATGCTGAGTAGTACCTTACTGCTTGAGTATCCTCACTGGCTTCCAACTTGGAACGTAATGTACTACCAAACATGAGCAAAGGGGGCAGACCTTGGCCCAGTGTACTCACTGTTGTGACTGAAGAGAAACTGATGTTTCTCTTCCTATTTTTCCCTCTGATTTGGTTTGTCTCAGCAAAACTCCCATTGTAGCTCTGACCCTGAACCTTAAAGGTACTTATTTACTAAGATTTAACACACCCTGCCAGGTTGGGTACCTGATTAAAGATTAAAAATCATTAGCTTGCGTGACTCTCTCCTTCAAAAATTCCATTTGTCATATGTCAGGGCCTCATATCTAACCTTGAATAGTTTACAGCAAGATCTACTTCCCAAACCAAATTCCCATCACTTGACTTGCTGCCTCAGACTGATATTAGAACATTCTTTAGATCCACTTTCTATGGGCAGACCCACCCCAGCCCCAGTAGGGTCTTGCCAAGTAAAATTTTCTAAATAGTACTGCTATTTTATGACATGAATTGTGAAATATAATGGGAAAGGTTTTTATTCTACAGATTTTGCACCAATTTCAATAATATACTAAAATGCAATTTTGAGTGTTGCCCTCCTCAAGTCAAGTAGAGAAGCCTTAGAGAGAGAATTATTTTCTGAATGAATAAAAACCAAAATAAAATGCAACACCCTCCCCCCCGCCCCAGCATTTACAAAACCCATTTTGTAAATTTCAAATCTAGGCCCAAGTGCATTATATCAGATACAGTTTCTGTACCTATTAAAAATCCTATCTGGATAAAATATGAAAAACAATAGTCATATTTTGTGTGTGTGTGTTTTGGCTTCGCCTTCCTGGTTTGTGTTTTCCTTGGTGGCAAAGCACATTTTTGGACCAGATGTTGAATGTAACAAAACCCATATTAATTTTAACTGCAGTATCAAAAGAAATAAAAAACTTAAACAGCTTTTCTATCAAAAAGAGATAGACTCTTGCCTTTGGTAGTACTCATCCGGAGAGAGATGGATTCTGATTCCATATACTAGTATATCATCGCTTCGCCTGAGACTGGAGAGGTTGGGGCCATTAAAGCCTATTACTTATGAGGTAGGAATGGGCACTATTTATAACTTTATCTCTGAACAGGTCTGGATATAGTAATGCCATCATGATTAGATGCCAAACAATACTGATATTTTGTGGTATGGAAGAATATAAAATCCAGTCCACTATCTCTACCCTATACCCAACAAGACTTCCTGGTGAAGACGGTCCATTCCTCCCTCCCCTCACCCAAAGTTTCCTGTTTAGTGGGGGAAATAAGAGTGGGGTCCAAAAACTATTGCCCATCAAACAAGGGCTGTTCTTGCCAGGGCCATAGAAGGATGGGCCATAGAGCCTTATCCACGAGATCCTACAACTGTTTCCTGTCCTTGCAGATTGGCCTCTCCTGGCGAGTTTCCCCAGCAGGTAAACAGAAAATACCTTCTGAGGGAAAATATATTTCAGCTTTGAGCAATGAAACGAACCAAAATTATCTGAAATTCAATTTTTCAATGACTTATTTCTAGAAAATTCAAATTTTGAGGGGGAACTCCTCCCCCCCTCCCCGCCGCATACACACATGCACACAAAAATCTGTTTGAAGTTTTTCATTACATTTTGTGTGTGTTATATTTCAATCACCTATATAGCTGGTTGATTTTTTTTTAATCTTTTGACTAAAAATTTAAGTAAAAATAAATGGTTTTTAAAATATTGTTTGGGAGTCTGTTCTATTATTTTGACTATAAACCACAATCCCAGGA